GAACCAGAATCAGTACATTCTGTGTGTGTTGTGCTTAAATAAACTGTTCAACTTTTCATCCTTGTGTCCGTCAGTGGTGTTCTGCATAACTGGGTCTCCTTTAGTGAACCCATCATGACAATTTCAGGGAATAATTACCTGATTAATGAATGAGGATTTGATGTTCCAGAGCAACCACGACAATCCCAGAAACAGCTCAACCACACATTAAAAGTACTGATGAACTTTGAGAACGTTTAGAGTTCCAACTCTAAAGGTTCTAGTTTATGGCTGGTGAATAAATGCAAACCCAGTGTGGTATTAGGACTGGGCATGGGCCACAATGTAGACACAACTACGGAAAAATTTTATTTTACAAAACAACATTTTCAAATCAAAGAGTCAATCTATTTTGGTTGCATCATAATTAACAGGAGTAAGACAGAATTTCTCACTCCAGCCCTTTAAGAGGTGGTAATACATTTAAAGTGAGTTTGCTGCCACTCAGTGTGGAAGAGAGAGTTACAGCTGGTGGGCAGAGCCATGTGTGGGTAGAAGTAAGCACTTTTTCATGCAACAGTAGTAGTTCTGTCCTGAGACAATGGAAACTGGACAAGCATGTTTTCAAGGTCAAAAGAACAAAGAAACCCTCAATTGAAACATCAACATGTTTGTGGTTAGTGCAAAGAAACATAAAAAAATCAAATAAATAAGTTGCAATAGCAATTTTTTACTGCCTAAAAATTCATTTCAATTTAACTTGCCTATTTTTAAACCCTCGATTCACAACTAATATCATCTCAAGGCACTTTACACAGACAACTTAATCAGATTATACAGTCAGATTGGTAAGAAGTTTTCTATCCCAGGAAAAACAGCTGATTACATTGAGTCATTAATTTTGCAGGACAAGTTCTGCCTGGTGGAACATGCGGTGACAGTAGATATTTGACTCTACAGCGATCCCTCACATCAAACATGCATGCGGCGACAGTGGAGGGAAAAAATCCCTTTATCATGAAGAAATTTCCAGCAGAACCACAATCAGTGTGAGTGGCCTTGTGCTAAGCCCGGCTAAGGATTAATAAGACAGAAGAACACAGTGCAAGAGGAACATAAAAGCACTGATACATAGCTAGTTTGTTAGAAAAGATAATGATAAACTAGCTCCAAGGAGGACTCCATCTATAATAGAACAGTTAAGCAGATGAACTCTGAACCAGTTTTCATGTCAAAGGGATGAAGGTGAGCATGTACAAGTAGCCCGAGTAAAAGCAAACTCACGTGATATTTTGCAAAATCTTGTGAGATTTTGTTAGCAAAATAGATCGATATCGCGTCAATATATCAACATATAAAAATATGGCAAAATTTCCTGAATTTTCAGGGGATTTCGTAGCATAACGATGACATATAGCAATATTTCATTAGTAAAAGAGATTGATATGGTGTTTTTAAATGGCAATATATCAGCATATGAAGATATTGTGATATTTTAATGTATCAATATTTTTTCCCTCGTCTTTAGAAGTTTTTAAGTCTGTAAAAAATAAGTTTTTGAGGAAGAAGAAGAAGTAGTATTTTTTTATTTTTTAGACTTTAGAAACTCAGAAGCTGATCAAATATCAGGTTAAATATCGGTGGGGTGACCGATGTCCGATATTCAGTTTTAAGGCCGATACAGGCCGATACCGATAGGGGGCCGATTATATCGTGCATCCCTATAAGAAACAGTACTGAGCACTGAAAAACAGACCCAACTATCGTCTATAAAAACATAAGATGTCTGATGGATATGAAGATTATGTATGTATTTGGTTCTTTGGTCTATAACTAATTATGAACATCTACATAATTTTGAACTTCAGACATACTTTCTTTTGGACTCAATACAGACTTCAGGGTAGGGTTTTCAAAGGTATTGATACTCGAAAAAATATCGATACTAAAATGCAGTATCCGGATATGATACTCATTTTCAAAAGTATCAATACAGTTCTACCACCAGTGGCACCTAAACAGTCATTCATCTAGAGTGCAGAAAAGAGGAAAATGCACATTCTGAACACTGTGTGATTGAGTAATTCTGTGCACTTTTCAGTTTCAGACTTTTTTTTGTAACAAGTGAAGCTGCTGAGAATTATTTTTGTTTGTTAACTAGTTTGGCTAGTGTCATTGTTATGTGTTCAGAGTATAGTCAAGGAAGGAACACTTCATTTTGTTAGTTTTTTTTATCAAGCTTGCCCAATATTGGTCACAGCATACACCTCAAAATATTGTTCTTATTGTTTATTGTATTTATTTATCTTTTTTTGTATTTTATTTATTAATGAAAATATTTCTGTTAAATTTTGGGGTCTTTGTTCTTATCCTTGTGGTATCAAAAATGGTATCGAGTATCGAATATTTTCCTGAGCATCGCTATTGAGTTGAAAATTTTAGTATCATGACAACCCTACTTCAGGGGCCGATTATTAATCTTTTTTTTTTTATTTATGTTTAAAAATGTATATGATTTTAAATGAAATTAGATGGACTTATTTTAGAATATTTTTTTTATTCAACTTTCTAAAACAAACATTTTTTTAAAGTTTTAGTTTATTCAAATATCAAAATATTTCAGTTTTAGCCTCTGGTGCATTTTGCTACAAATGTTGTTTACTGACACATTTTTATTACCTATGTTTTGTTTGTTATTTTGTGTCAATATAATTAATCCACAGCTATTGATTTGTGTGCATTTCCCAGATTGTCTTTGCTTTTTGTTAATTATCTTTTTGCATTTGCAGATGGAACCATGAGTGGTGATGCAACCATGATGGAAGACTAAAAATTCATGCTGTAAAGCATCTAAAGCATGCACCACAAAAAAGGGGTGGAGGATCAAAACTTACTCAGAAGACAGTTGGTTAAGAAAGTGCATCGTCTAATATATTATGCAGCTATAGCTATTTTTATTTTTAATCAAGACTGCTGGAAAGGCAAGTTCATTTTTCTGTTTATTTTATTTATTTGATTTACACACCAAAGTGGGTGGGCTGTGTCATTTTATTACTCTTTTTATATATATGCTTTTTGTTTTTATCACCAGTGTTAAGGTACCTGTTCTACTTTAAATCGAAGGAGAGATAAGGATGGAAATGCTTGTTTACTTTTGTGCATATTTGCTGTGAAGTACCAAAGCAAGGCGGGCTGTGTAATTTAAGATATTTTCATTTGTTTTTTAGTTTGTTTGTTTTTTGTTTTCTACAATGTTAAGCTACTTTTTCTGGTAATCTAATTAAAATAAAGATTTAAAAAAGTAAATGAGCGCTGTTTTGTAAACCCTGGTCTGTGTCTTTTTAGAGTGGAGGTTTCTTTCAAGTCAAGCAGGTATTTAGGTTTGACTCAAAAACAGAATTGAACTGAAAATAAATTGAAACTTAAGTTTTCATTTCCGTTAATCAGCATTTTGAATGGTGAAATGAAGCTAAGATCCTGTCCACCTGAAACCAGATAGCAATTACGGACAGCCCAGAACCAGCATTGAAGCATCTAAAATTAGTAAAAAAGCTGACATAGAAAATCAGATAGGTTTTACTTGTTACATTTAAAAGCAGGTTTTAGACATTGCTCAGTAGCACAATACATGTTCAAATGTTTTATTTTTGTGTTTTCTTGTGTTTTTTTTATTACTCTTGATTTAGTGAATAATGTTCTAGACTAACAGGGCTTTGATCGGTCTGTATCACCAGCAATGTTGTAATAAATTCAGTTACATGAACAAAACTGGTGAAAAAATTGGATTATGTTCCAGAAAATGTACTTTAATATTTTGGCATATTAAAACAAAGGAAAATGTTGTTTATTCCAGGGACTATTTTGAAGTTCCAGCATGTTTTCAATATTTTACAAGGACTTGAAGTTCAGCATCAATGTGCAGTAAATCTGTAAAGGGGAAAAAAGTATGTATACTTGATTTGAACCCAGAATCTTAAAACAGCTGGATTGCATCCTAATCAACACCTTAATTGTAAAAAGTTCTCACCTCTATCGTCTCTCTGTCAGATACTCGCTCTGGTTAAAGCCTCCTAGAAACCACTCTCAGAAACAGAAAGCCTAACATTTCTTAGGACATGTTCAGGATTAATGTCATGAAATTTTCATTATCAACATCACATCTGTTGGGACGACTTTATGTGATTTTCTAACAAGCTGACATTGCTGCTGTTTTATTGCAGGTTGGAAATGAACAATATCTGCCGACATACAGTTTTGCTAGTTCCACCCTTACAGGAAAAACAACTACAGAGCCTTCTGCCAGTTTATGTTTATGAAATACTAAAGACTTGTACATAGAAGCCTGGAGACCCATTGGAATGTTAATCCACAACATTACTACTTCGTTTGAATTGCATGTTCAACAATTTTCCTTTCCTCTCTTAAATGTCATTATTTAACAACAAAAAGCACTTAACTCAGAACACTCATAAGAAATATACCTGTTTGTCAATAATTACTCATCACAGAAATAATGATCCCAAATTCTTTTCGGGCAGCATTCCAATTTTTTACTTTTAACAATAAAATAAGACCTATACCAGAATGCTCAGCTTATTATTATTATTAATAGCAATCGGTTGTTTGAAAATGTTTTGTTGCCTTTGGTAAATCTTTGTCCTCAGCAGTAAAGCTCAGCACAGCAGGCCTTATTACCGCAGTTGAACAGGGATGAGCCGCCCGCACATGTTGGAGCGGTGCGGGGCTGCGGGCTGTCTGGAGATGATGCTCTCACGCAGGAAGCACAACATCCAGCTGTGTCCATTCAGCACTTTGATCAGCTCAGGGAACACATGAAGCTTTCGCTTGACCTTCATCCAAACGGTCCGACACATCAACTTTTTTTCACATTAGGGGAACAACAACAACTAGTCCGACTCTGAGAGCAGACAACGCGCACCATTTAGCGGCGGTGAGGCGCCCCTCCAGCCGGGCATGAAGCAGCATGAGCAGCTCCAGCCGCTGACAGGTGCCATACTCACAGTGAGACGCGGCTGATGCTCCACCGAGGATCCTCGCAGCGCAAAGAAGAACCGCAGGAAACAGAACATCCATCTTCCCCACTGGGCAACACTGTTATCTATCCGAGAGTCAGCTGAGGTGGAAGCTGCGCACAGGTTCCTGCTTGCTCCTCCAGCTCAGAGGGATGAGAGGAGTCTGGTGTGGAGAAGCAGACCTCTCCCACGATGGCACGCCCTCCCTCCTCCCTGTGAGGCACAGCCCACCTCCCTCTCTTCTCTCTCCCTCTCTGCCTGCCTCCCCCAGTCTGATTGTGGATCAGGCTTTATTGGCAGAACAGGAGAACCGGGCTGCGCAATGATTCGGTAAAAAACAACAATGGCAAACCCATAGAGAGCAGCAGCAGAGAGGCAGTGTTATCAGAAGTCACCTATCAGCAGTGGTGTGCACAGGTGTGGGCAGCCCCCCCCCCCCCCCCCATTAGTGAAAAACCTTTTCCAAAGTGCCCTCTCAGAACCCAAAATGGGTGCTAAAGTGCCCTCTACAGTGATGAGGATGTGCTGTATTTGTACTTTTTTTCACCCCTGCCCTTCAAAAAGTCTGTGTATGCCACTGTCTATCAGAAGTCAGGAGCTAACAACTTGGATATACAGTCAATAATGAAAAGGAGTCCTGGAAAATACTCTTTTTACTATTTGATCAAGTCTTATTTAAAGGTGAAGTTTGGTCACATTCAGAATTCAAACATCTGAAAGTACTTTAAATATGAAATTATTACATACTGTTCAATAAATGATAAGTGTCTTAATTAAGAGTAATTTTGATTAAGATGTTCTTTACTGGAGGCATCCATGTTTGTCAAAGAACACTACTGCCACCTACTGGTTTGTGACGTCACGGTGCGGTATCGGCTGTTGATCAAGTCCCAGTGCTGTATCTGGTGTTTGTCACAACACACTATTATCCAAGTCATCTTGAAAACATTCTACTTCCAAATGTTGGCTACATACACTGCATGAAAAGTGAGATTTTCGTCCCCGTAAACCCCCGTAAACTCCTGCAGATCTGCCTGATTTTCGTCAGTTTCCGACAATTTGCAACCCGTGCTTGTCCGCGTTTGTCGTGCCACAAATTGTCGGAAACGTACCGTGACGTATGTGGAGAGCGATCAGCTGTACTAATGGCCCTAATTAGCATATGAATACAGCAAACCCGCGCGGCTGGCCAAGTCTGGCTTGAATAACCTTCTCAGTATTGGCTGAAACCACTATTCTCAAACAAGTAAAATCGCTCGTGATTGGCAGCAAAACCACACGTGGCCACGCCAGGCTTTAATTTTCTTACTGAGTATTGGACGGAACCACTTCTTTTTAAACAAGTAAAGTCGCTCGTGATTGGTTGGCATATATATATATTTACATATAAATTTACATATATATATATTTATTCATATATATATATATATTTATTCATTCATATATTTATTCATTCATATGGTGTGTATTTATGTTATCCTACACTACTACACAATTATTATGCTACCATCAAGGACATGAATGAATTTATACAGGAAATGAAGATTTGCCAGGAAGCTGTTTATGCAAAGAAAGAGCTTTATTGAAACACAACTATATACAACGCGTATCCAAACACATGCGTTTCTAAAAATTAAAACTCCGTGAACGGTCCGTTTGCTTCCTCGGGGTTGGAGGTAACTGGCAGCATTCCCTCCGAGGCAGGTCCGATGTGCAGACGCCTAGTGTGCGTGGCCCTGTACTTTGGCATCGCTTCTAACCGGGACTGCAGCTTAACACAGAGTTCAGTGAGATCCGGCCTACGAAATGGCGGCGACCGTACAATCCATCCAGAGACACCGCCGAGGAAGGCGGACTTCCAGAGTTCCACTTCCTCATCTGCTAGCACACTCTGCCTCGCTTTCAGCAGCTGAAAAAAAAAACAACGAATCAGCGCACTGCGTATGGACACAACACATCTATTAATGTGCCTGAAAAATAGTCACCAAATAAAGTCTTACCCTCTTTCTTCTGGCCCGACTTCGAGCAGATAGCCTCCGCACGCAGCGTGTGGCTGGCTGCGTATATCTGAAGCTCCTGCGTACCGTCTGAAAATACGTCTTACAGGCAGCTGGAAAACAATTAAATGAGAGTGGTATAAATAAAAAATCAAACGCAAGTCACAGTAACAAGGAAGGAGAAAACATTAAAACAAGTCACTTACACACAATGTCGTCTTTATCAACATCGTGCAAATCTGGACTTGCCGAGATGGGAGGTCTGTGAAAACAAAATGTAAAAGCTATGATCGGTATCCATCCGTATCCATTGCCTTTTACCGCAGAATGAAAGCATATTCTTTAAATCTTACCCTTGCTCCGGTTCATAGCGCCTGCAATTAGTCTCCGAGTTGTTAAGACGGCGTACTGCTTCCTGTAAATCACAAAAAATACACTTTAATAAAGCTTGTTCTAGCAAGGCTACTATTAGCCGCTATTAGCCGGTAGCTTAGGCTAGGCTGCTTTTAGCTTAGCAGGCAGTAATCGAACATATATTTACCGCTAGCATCTCTTCTTTGAGTTCGTCTTGTTCGATGCAGAGTCGCCATCGTGTCCAAGAGGAGTTTTACCCCGAAATCCAGAAGCTCCAGACCGCTGCACAAAGCAAAGCATACATCTTCCACTGTGGCTGCACACCGCCGTTCTGAGTTTCTTGGAGATCGTAGGGAGCATGCGCGAGATGAACCAGGGTGTCCGCGGATCAATAAAAATAATTAAAAAATCGTTCTTTTTTTTTTTTTAATCAAGGCCTTAATTGGCACTAAAATTATTTAAATATGTTTATCGAAGTATTTATAATTCTTTAATAAAAAATGCTTATAAAAACAATTTCGTCAGATATATTATATCGCTCCAGGCGGAGAAAAAGCTAGAGGATATATATATACGTATATATGTGTGTGTGTGTGTTTACATACATACAGGAGTCATGGAACTCTGCTTGCAGCTCCTTCACATTTCATGTACACTAATAACTTGTGTACATGGTTCTTGATGATGGCATTAAAATCATTTCAAATAGCATTAAAATAGCATTAAATTAGAGTCACTCATTCCTGTATGAACCCTGTGAGTGCTTAATTTAATATGACATATTAAAAAAATCCCACCATCATCCAGCATATGTTCAGTTTCTGCCCAAATATATATGTAGATTTTTGTAACGGGGATAAGGATAATTCAAAACTGCTTTTTTTTTTATGAACTTGTTCACTACTTCCAAACTCAGCATCTCTTTTCATTCCTGTAATAAGAAGTTTCTTTTGAATGGATTTGATTAAAGTTTAAGTCCCTCGGTATAAAATAAATATTTTGATGGAGATGAGAAATCTTCTTCCTCGTTGGTGAATAACCAATAGTTTGGATCCAATCATTTAAATAAACGGTGTTAGTTTTTTTATATATATATATATATATATATATATATATATATATATATATATATATATATATATATATATATATATATATATATATATAAGAATTGTGCTATAATTTCTAGTCACCAATCTGTTGCTGCTATATTTTAATTTGACGAACCGGAATTTGTCGATGTTCTTTTTCCTGTTTGGTGCGATTGCAATTGCGGATCTTGACCTGGCCGGACCTTATGACCACAGTGTACCAATCTTCTCATGGCTACTTCCAACAGGATAATGCGCCATGTTATAAAGTAAATCATCTCAGACTCATTTCTTGAAACTTTTCGACTTAAGTAATTGTGAATTGAGCATATTGACAGACAACATTTTATTTTTTATCTTAAATGCAATTTTTTTTTTATAATTACTGCTCTAAATGTATTGCTCTGTCAGCTAAAGATCTGTTTTGGTCTCTATACTTTAATTAAATAAATCAATTCAAGCTAAAATGGAAGAGGCTATACTAAGCCTGATCTCTTTGTATCAGAGAATTTCTTACCCAGAAAGATGTCACTTGGGGTAAAACCCCCCCTGCAACCCTGGTTTGCATTTGTATAGCTCACAGCATGTTCATTTACATGTTAAAGCCTCCCCTAGAATTCCATGGGGGGGAGGCATGGGGGGAACACTGCCTAAGAGAGTCCACGTCAATTTCTGACAATTTACGGGAGTTTTCGGCGAAGCCTGCAAATTGTCGTAAACTGCCGCTAACCTGAAGTTCCACGACAATCTACAGTGCCGCATATTGACGAAAATCCCACTTTTCATGCAGTGATATTACATGTTTTTTCTCTGGCCAGAAGGTCGATGGCAAATCCTCCCTCTTCAAGTTGGCAATCCAACGACGAACCCGTCCCTGGAGGATCAGGAATCGGAAAGGTGAAATAACTAAAAAAAAAATTTTTTCACTTTTACCCAATGTATTCCAACATCCAGCTGCCATGCACGTGGGCATTGTCAGTTTCACTATAGCTCTGGTGAATTTCAATGGTGAAGTCCTCTGGAAATCTTCAATAATTGTTGTTGATTGCAGATGTGTCTAGTAGTTGCCACTGATTTAGCTCAAAAAGAGGGGAGAATGGCGCTAGGCTTACCACAGCATGACATCAGTGCCGGAAGATTTCAGGAGTGAGGTGTTACTATATTTGGAAAAAAGTGGTGTTCCCAGACTAAGTGATCGCAACATAAATTATTGTTTTTTTTTTTTTTTACTGATTAACTTAATTAACTCACTGCTAATGTATTAGTTTTAGGTATAGATAATGATACATTGATTATTCCTTGCTGACCGGACTTTTCGTTTAAAGAACAAACACATTTTAAGTCAAGCCGCAAGAAATACATTTCTATCATTATTGTCAGAGGTTTTTAATGTGGTTATAGCATTGTTAAATTCTGTTAAACAATAAAAATTAAATAAACTCTTTTAATGTTGTAGTTTGTGTTATATGGGAGATTTCAGTTTATTTTATTTCCTAGGACAATTTACTCCAGTCAATTGTTGAAAAATGTTTTGGAGAGAGGGACCCACTTTCTAACTCCAAATCAAGCTCATACCTAAACCGAGAGTTGAACTCAAATGTCAAATGATCTCTTAAAACATAGCTACTGTTGGTCTCTTTTATTTTTTCATTGCAACTGGCTACAGTAGACGATTAAACGGTAGAGAAACAACTAAGAGTGGACAAGAAATGAGCACTACTTCATAGGCTTCCACTTTTGTGTCAATGTGAAGAAAGATATTGATAGGCTACAGCCCTCAC